ATGCCCAGCAGAGATACCTTCTTTTTTATATTTTGAAATAAGAAAAGCTTTATTTAAAGTCAACTGGCAAGGAAGGAGGGAATGCTCAATCTCTTTTCCTGAGCTAGGGGTTGGGTTGGGTTTTATAAGCAAAGGGTAATGAGGCATGATCTAATTGGATCTCACAATGAGGTGATGCTGGGAGGTAATATCTGACTGGATCCTGCCATGGGGTGATGCCAGAGCTTGATCTGATTGGATCCTGGATCCTGCCATGTGGTGTCTGATGTTTCGTTTTTGTTTTTGTTTTTGTTTTTGAGACGGAGTCTCGCTCTGTTACCCAAGTGGGAGTGCGGTGGAGCGATCTCAGCTCACTGCAACCTCCACCTCCCAAGTTCAAGCAATTCTCCTGCCTCAGCCTCCCGAGTAGCTGGGATTACAGGCGTGGGCCATCACACCTGGCTTTTTTTGTTGTTGTTGGTAAAGACAGGGTTTCACCATGATGGGCAGGCTGGTCTCGAACTCCTGACCTCAAGTGATCTGCCCATCTCAGCCTCCCAAAGGGCTGGGATTGCAGGCATGAGCCACCATGCCTGGCCTTGTTTTTAACTTTTATTTTATGTTAAGTGGTACATATGCAGGTTTGTTATATAGGTAAACTTGTGTCATGGGGGTTTGATGCACAGATTATTTTGTCACCCAGGTACTAAGCCCAGTACCCAATAGTTATTTTTCCTGTTCCTCTCCCTCCTCCCATCTTCCACTGGGCTCCAGTATCTGTCGTTCCCCTCTTAGTCCCCATGTGTTCTCATCACTTGGTGAGAGAATATAAGTGAGAATATGTGGTATTTGGTTTCCTGTTCCTGCGTTAGTTTGCTAAAGATAATGGCCTCCAGCTCCATCCTTGTTCCTGCAAAGGACATAATCTCAAATCTTTATGTCTGAATAGTATTCCATGGCATATATGTACCACATTTTCTTTATCCAATCTGTCATTGATGGGCATATAGGTTGATTCCATGTCTTTACAATTGTGAATAGTGCTGCAATGAACATACATGTGCATGTGTCTTTATGTAGAATGACTTACATTTATTTGGGTACATACCAAGTAATGGGATTGCTGGGTCAAATGGTAGTTCTGCTTTTAGGTCCTTGAGGAATTGCCACACTGCTTTCCACAATGGTTTAACTAATTTATACTCCCACCAACACTGTACAAGTGTTCCCTTTTCTCTGCAACTTTGCCAGCATGTTATTTTTTTCTAACTTTTTAATAATAGACATTCTGACTGGTGTGAGATGGCATCTCATTGTGGTTTTGTGTTTCTTTAATGATCAGTGATATTGAGCCTTTTTTCAAATGTTTGTTGGTTGCATGTATGTCTTCTTTTGAAAAGTATCTAGGAATGAGATACTTTCACCACTTTCTCAAGGAAGCCAGCATTCTCTCCAACTGGGTGAGGGCCCCTTATAGCCCTCCAGTACCCTGAACTCCCAACATGACTATCGAGCAGTCTGCATTGGTTGACCATCTCTGCTCCTTGCCTCATAGACTGTGCCTTGTCCATCTGATTCCACACCCTAGCACAGTCCAGACACTCAGGCACCCATTCAGGTGTAGGTGTGGGCAAAACTGTGCCAGCCCAGAGTGGAGATGCCACTGCACTCTCCTGACCTTCCTGCTTGAGCCCAGGGCATCACCAGCCTGAAAGCCATCCAAGCTTCTCTGCTGTTTAGTGAAGCCTTAGGCTTCCAGGCGGCACATGCCACACCCCCTTCTTCCCTTCCAGGCCCACACGTCCTCTGTGCTGTCTGGCCCTGGACAGCCCTACGTTCATTTGCCCATAGCACACATACCCTCATCCAACGCCTGCCCCAGTCCTGATTTGCATGTTTGTGCAAAGGGCACAGGCTTTGGCCAGAGAGACTAAGTCCAAGAGGCCAACCCGGAGTGCCTGTTTGCTCACATGTAAATGGGCACATGGTAACTGCCTCCCAGGTGGGGTATTGAACAAGCCCTGGATACTTTCTCTCTGTAGTCTCAGGACACGAAGACGGACTTTCCTGTTCTTTCTTTATTCATTTTTTTTCACACGGAGTCTCGCTCTGTCGCCCAGGCTGGAGTGCAGTGGCGCAATCTCAGCTCACTGCAAGCTCCGCCTCCCGGGTTCATGCCATTCTCCTGCCTCAGCCTCCTGAGTAGCTGGGGCTACGGATGCCCGCTGCCACGCCTGGCTAATTTTTTGTATTTTCAGTAGAGACGGGGTTTCACCGTGTTAGTGAGGATGGTCTCCATCTCCTGACCTCATGATCCGCCCACCTTGGCCTCCCAAAGTGCTGGGATTACAGATGTGAACCACCACACCCAGCCCCCGTCCTTTATTTTTTAAAGACAGGGGTCTCAAGGCCAGGCATGGTGGCTCACACCTATAATCCCAGCACTTTGAGAGGCCGAGGTGGATCACCTGAAGTCAGGAGTTCAAGACCAGCCTGACCAACATAGTGAAAGCCTGTCTCTACTAAAAATACAAAAAATAGCCAGGCATGGTGGCAGCCGCCTGTAATCCCAGCTACTCAGGAGGCTGAGGCAGGGAGAACTGTCTAAACCCAGGAAGCAGAGGTTGCAGTGAGCTGAGATTGCACCAACACACTCTAGCCTGGTCAACAAAGCGAGACTCTGTCTCAAAACAAAAAACAAAAAACAGAAAAAAGAGAGTCTCAGTGTGTTGCCCAGGATGGAGGGCAGCTGTGTGATCATACAGCCTCGAACTTCTGGGCTCAAGCAATCCTCCCATTCTATCCAATGCCAGGGCCCCAGAGCACCCACATGGTGCCTAACCCCACAGCAAAAGCCCCCGTGGTACCAGCTATTCCACCAGGGTAGACAGGCCAGAGTCCAAACCCTGCGCACAACCTCATACTCCAGGCAACTTCTGAGCCTCATCTTCCCCACCTAAAATGTAGAAATAGCTTCCCCCAGGGATGCCATTAGGAGGAAGGTAGGTACACTTTTTGTTTTTTGAGACGGAGTCTCGCTTTGCTGCCAAGGCTGGAGTGCAGTGGCGCAATCTCAGCTCACTGCAACCTCCGCCTCCCAGGTTCTAGCGATTCTCCTGCCTCAGCCTCCCGAGTAGCTAGGATTACAAGTGCTCACCACCCTGCCCAGATAATTTTTGTATTTTTAGTAGAGATGGGGTTTCACCACGTTGGTCAAGCTGGCCTCAATCTCCTGACCTCGTGATCCACCTGCCTCGGCCTCCCAAAGTGCTGGGATTACAGGTGTGAGCCACCAGGCCTGGCCCTGAATGTACATTTTTTTTTTTTTTGAGACGGAGTCTCGCTCTGTCACCAGGCTGGAGTGCAGTGGTGCGATCTTGGCTCACCACAAACTCTGACTCCCAGGTTCAAGCGATTCTCCTGCCTCAGCCTCCCGGGTAACTGGGATTACAGGTACGTGCCACCACGCCCAGCTAATTTTTGTATTTTTAGTAGACAGGGTTTCACCATGTTGGCTGGGATAGCCTTGATATCCTGACCTCATGATCTACCTGCCTCAGCCTCCCAAAGTGCTGGGATTACAAGCGTGAGCCACCACGCCCGGCCTGAATGTACACTATGAACAAACAGCCACCATACCTTTACCCAAGCTCCTCTGCTCCGGGCCCAGACCCTGCTGTCCCCATGCAGGAATACAGCATAAGGCTAGCTCCATGTTCCTCTACCCCATCCCCTCAAGAAGGAAATCACTGGGGAAACCAATCTCCTCTCCATCCAGGGTGGCTCTGGGATACAAGCTCTCTTGGTAGGGTGTGACTGGTAGTGACAGAGTCAGAGAAATAAACACAGTGGAGACAAGCTGTGCATCACTTTAGAACACAGCTTGGCTGCAACATCCAGGGCACTCACTGTCCTCAGGACCAGCCTCAGCACTCCATGAAGCCAGGTGGGAAGGCCAACCCAGGGCAAGGACCAGGCCTCAGCCCTGCAGGCACTCTCTGCCCTGTGTCGTCTTCCAAGAGGTGGGAGTGATGCCCACTGATAGGGTCTGTGCAGTTGACAGGTGTCTCCCAGTAGATGCTCAAATGGTTGCTCTTTATCGCCAGTTCCATTAACTTTTTCCTTCTGAATACTCCTAACCACCAGACTGCAAGAATACTGTCTGCAGCTCCCTGGCAGCTCTAGTTCACACCTGCCCAGAAAATACCACCTTCCTGCCCCCATCATACACGCTGGCTTCATGGAAATCCTTGGGCATTAACCGAAGAGGAGCAGGGATCATGGAGGCACCAAATCTCGGGTCCTGCTAGCTTCAGTCCCACCATGACCAAACGCCCAGCCTCACTCATCTCTGTACAAGTTTTTGCCAAGAAAAAACTTGGTTCTTTCTAAAATATGCAGGCACTCCCCTAGTTTCTCCCCACTCTCCCGCTGCCCCAACTTCCTCATGCCCCCAGCCTGGCCTTGTGACGCCTAGTGAGCAGGTGACATGCAATCTAGGGCCTCAAGCCAGCAGAGAAGCCCAGCCTTCAGGCTGAGAAGGCAGCTGGAGAGCTGAAGCCAGGGCACAAGGAACAGTACATGTGTGTGCATGTTACACCACCGCTTATGCACATAACACACAGACACAACTCACACATCAACAGATGTTCAGAAAGGGACCAGCAGATTAACTGCCCTGGCTCCTCTAAGGAAGAGCAGGCAGCTTCCCCGCGAATCTACATGTGCGTGTGCTGGGGGAGAGGAAGGCTGGCGGTCAGGAAGGCCCATCTCCCAGCCTGATCCCAGGCAGCAGGGCTGCAGCAGCTGCACAGGAAGGCTCTGGGCCGGCCATAGCCACCTGCTGGCAAGGGCAAGCTTCTCTTCTCATGGCTGGGGCAGCTCAGCACAGCTGACCTCTGCTGGCCAAGTGAAGCACTGCATGCAGCTGCAGAGCCAGGCGCTGCTGTCTTCCAGAAGTTTCCTGACTCCTGATGTTTTGGGGATTCGAACAGTGCTTTTCATATGCCGGAGGCACAAACTGGGGCAGCTACAATTTTTATTCTGCTGTCAAGGGGCAAGATGCCAGCTTGGAAGTGCCAAGGAGCTTTTAAAGGGCCCAGCACTGCCAGCCCCAGAATTGTCTGTTCAGGCTGTGCAGTAAGCACCAGAGCCTCGCCTGTCCATGAAGGGTGGAAGCCTGTGCTCCACAATGTGCTCAGCTCCAGAGAGGCCCAACAACCTCAGGAGGGCTTGGCTGTGGGTCTGAATTTCTTTCCTTTGTGCTTGAAGCTGCGCAGTGGGTTCTGGGACTTCGCTCTCTAAGGAGGCAAAGTCACAGGTTAGTTGGGGGAATCAGGCTGACAAACTATCCACCCACCCACCCAACTGAGAAAGACACAAAGGGAGCCGTGCCGGCACCTGGCCAACACGACCAGAAGGTGCTGCAGACAAGGAAATGGGGAAAGGCAGCTGGGGAAAGAAAAGCAGGGCCTGCAGGTGGCTGCAAAAGTATCCCTATCCTACACCAGATTGTGTCCCAGCCACCAGATTTTAGGGGCCCGGTTCTAGGGTGCCCTCTCCCCCCCTCCCTAGGGCAAGGCGCCTACATATTCTGGTGATGACAAACAGCAGGTGGGGAGGAGTCCTGCAGCTGTCCCCAAGTCCCCAGGAGCCATACCCTGGCCTTCCTACAAGAAGAAGACAGCTTCTTCCGTTTCTTGTGAGGGCGCACCAGGCCACGAAGAGCAGGAGGAACTGGAAGAGATGCTTGCCTGAGCAGTGGGCTCACCACTACTGCTCCCACCCCTGCCCTCCCACTGATTCTACAGCAAATTCTCCAATTCTGACCCAACTGGCAGCCTATGACATATATCTGTTCACTATCACACCTGCACAGGGCTAGGAGAATGTGAGCACCTTAGACTTCCACTATCTAAATCACTCTCCTGTGTTGTTTAGATTTGTTCCAATAAACATGTAACAAGAAAGAAAAAGACACCCTTAAAGAAAGAAAATGTAGCTGAAATAAAAGTCAACAGGTAATTTCTTCACCTGTGGCCCATTACTACAGATACAGGGGGACCACATCCCAGCTGCACCTGATCTTGGCTCTATCTTCAACTCGCCCACCCCACGGACTCCCCCAAGCGAACCACACCTGGACCCTCCCCTTCAAGTGTCAAACATCCCACATCCTGACACCTTTCCACCTTCTCCTGGTCCTTCTAAACCTCCTGGCCACACCTTGGCAAGTGACTCCGCTATAGCAGCAGACTGGGTTCCTCAGGCCAAAGCTCTGGCCTTACCCTCTTCCTTCCTACCCACCCTCCCAACTCCCCTCCTCACATCTCAGGCCAGGACCTGGACTGGGGTCTCTTCCAGCTCACTATCCTGTGAGAACCTGGCCCCCACCACTCTCTCTGGCATTTTCATGTTCCCATCTCTTCTGGATCCTTCCTTTCCCAGTGTCCAGGTTTTTCCTGCCCTGGAACATTCCATCTCCACCCTTTGTCACCTCCACAGCAGCAACACCACACCCGCTGGGTGGCTGCAGGTCCAGGCTGAGCAGAGCCTGTGGCACTGGGAAGGGTCCTGCACTTGCTGCCCACAGCCTCGTCTCCACCACTCTTCTCCTTCAATCCATTTTAGGCATAAAAGTCACACATACTCATTACCAAAAACATCTCCTATGAGACACTGAAAGAAGTCAATACCCAGAGCCCGCCTAAGATGAAGAGAGGTCCCCAGCTTTAAAGGTCACATAAAGCTCTAGCCCGGGCTGCACCACAGAAACCAATCCCAGGGTCCTGACCCCATGCCTACACTACCCCCGCATTCCTCCCACCACCATTGGCTCTTCTTCTGCCACCTTTTCTGTTTAGGCCTTATAGTGTTTGTCTCCCTGCTGACTGTTCTTACCCAGAGACTCCACAGATGCCTCTTCAGTGGCTGCTAATCTTCAGTCTTTTGCAGCTCAGGTGGCTTTCTCTGCCTCCTGCCCGTGATTCTCTCCCAAACCTGTTCACCCCCTTTGACCCATGGATAGCAATTTGGCCCAGCTCTGGAGACCACCTGGCCTGAAATCCTGGTCTGCCACCCACTCTGCACTACCTCAATTTTCTCATCTCTAAAACGGAGACAGTGACAGCTAACCTGTGGGACCAAGCAAAAAAGTTTAGAAACACAGGGGTGTGCCTGTTTACATGCCCGTGTGCTGCCAGCGTCTCCAGGTCCTATTCTGCCTGAGCATCCCCAGCACCAAGCACAGGGGCTGATCCAGCAGCGGAGAAATTAATGCACTTCCCCAGCCTGCTACTTCCTGCCCCGTCAGGCCACACTCACCCAGGTAGTCAGGAACATGGCCCAGGTGGGGCTTCACCACTGCGGGGTGCAAAGGTAGGTCATGCCGCAGCAGCTGGAGGTCCCTGGGGTTGTCTTCAAAGTATGTCTGCCGGGGGAAGAGGGAGAGCCACAGCGTGAGCATCTTTCTTGTGCGACTTCACAGACTGAGCTTTTCAAAGGATAGCACACTCATGTGTTTCAAAAGGCATGAGGCACCTGCTTCTGCACATTTCTCACACCTCCCGGGAGTGGATGTTTCTATTTTCCCTTCTCCATGACACACACGGCAGTATCCTCCACCACACTTTTTGCTGGGCATCACCTTACAGACTGTTTCATATGGACACACAACCAACCTCGTTCCTTCCCATGTAACTTTCGGCTCTGGATGCACCTGAGCTTACCTAGCAAGCCCCCAATGGTGGCCCCGGGCTGTTTCCATCTTTTGGTTCCATGATAATGCCATGATGAATGCAGACACATGCTTGACCATGCACATTCACAAGTGTGACCAAGATTAAGTTCCAGAAGTGGAATTTTGGATGAAAGGACACATGAGCTTGTAATTCTGCTGGACAGTGTCCACCATACGGTTGTGCCAATTTACCACCAAGCAGAACAGGCCGGCTTCCTTCCATTTCCTCCCTTTCTGTGCCAAAGGCCAGAAAACTGCCCAGTTCTCTGCTTCTCACCACTCGGAGCTCAGCGAGTCTCCAAAAAGGACAGCCGTCTAAGATTTGTCCCCTCCTCACTTCCCATCCCCTCACCTTAAGCTTCTCAGAGTGCAGAAGCTCCTCCTTGATCTCCTTCAATCTCGCCTCCCGAATGGCCTGCTTAGTCACTGAGCGCATGGCATCCTGGGGGTGGACACTGAAGGTCAAGACAGTGAGGCTGCCCCAAATCCTCCCTCACGCCTGGATGCTCAGCAACAGGGTGCAATCCCTGGGCCACAGTCCCTCCCCTCTCATTCCCCTCCCCACCACAGCAGCTCACCCTGCAGCGATAGCGGAAGCCCTCGATCTCCTCCATCCGGAACTGGTAGGGGAGCAGAATGGGGCCCCTGTTCTCTGTGGAGAAGAAAGCTGTGAGGGTCCCACAGGCTGAGGCCTTAGGACAAGGTCTTCACTGAAGGTCTCCTGCACCTCCTCCTTGGGGCAAAGCTGCAGGGGACCCACCGCCTTCCTGGGATGCCAAACATGTAGCTTAGCTGTACCTGGACCTCTTACAATGATGACCCATCTGTCCCTGTGTGTGGATGGGGGTGGCCTGTGTGGCCCCGAGCCCAAGAACCCGTCACCCACTCTCTTCTCCTCTCCCAAGGAGTACCCCATAGTATTCCTTGGGAGTCAAGGTACCCCGTGACGATGGCCACAGAGAGCAGTCTAGGATCACCCAGCACCCTGGGGTCAGGTGGTGTCCTGAGCTGTCACAGCAGCATGTCAGGTGACTCAACGCTCATGAGGCAGACAGTAAACATGACTTTGGACAAATTACCTCAATTTGTTTATCTCTCAAGGGGAACAGTGCCTGCCACTCAGGGCAAAACAAGGATGGATGGTGGAAGTGGCCTGCCATACTATGTTGTGACCTCTGTCATCATCATCATGGAGTTTTAAAGCATTGTGCGAGAAGCCTGACCCTGGCCCAGGTCCACAAGAGCCAGGCTCTTACCTCCACTGAGAAGCTCCTCAATCTTGCCTAAGTGGGACTGCTCCGTGGGCAGCACAAAGGTTAAGACTATGCCTGGGTTGTTAGCGCGTGCTGTCCTGCAAGGAGAGACAGTGCAGCTTGCATCTCCAACCCGCAGGCTCTGTCCAGTACACCCCAAGTCCCTCAGCATGCCCACCACACAGGTGCCTGGGCCATCACACTCCTAGCCCTCCTACCTGCCGGCTCGATGGATGTAGGCCTCAGGGGTTGGGGGAAGATCAAAGTTGAGCACAGCAGACACATGGTGGAAGTCTATGCCCCGGGCCACACCTGCCTCCGGATCAGAGGCCCTGCAGAGATAACTCAATGTCAGTCGGACCCTTCCTCTCCTCTGGGCAGGGTATTCACAAGCTGAATCAGCAAAACTTCCTCTAAACAATGCCTGTAGATCACAAGACCCTGACATACAGAGGACTCTTCAACAACGGAACTGTTCCAGGAGTCAGGGTTTCCTGGGGCAGCCTGGAGCTTTGACATGGAGCCAAATCCTGGCCTGACCTCCGTTCTGGGACAACAGCAGAACTCAATGCCCTACATGGTGATCTGAGAACCAACCCTGAGCTAGTCAAGCCTTCAGGTGGAGAGAGACTGGAGAGTTGGGGGGTTCCTTTTCCCTTCAGAAATATGCTCCCTGCAAGTCACAGCCACATGCAGGACGGGCCATCTCCCCTGCAGGGCTATGCATGCCAACAACCCCACCAGTCTTGCCCTTCCTGCTGCATAGGCAGTGTGCACCATCCACTCCCTTCTTTATATCCAAGCAGCTGAGCAAGAACCTGCGGGGCTCTCTGGGCTACACTATCAGCCAGGCCTGGAAGGTTTGGCTCCCTGCTCTGTGCACTCCAGTTTTAGTCTTCCAAAAAGCTAAAAGAAACCGGTCTTTCTGGGGAGGGATGGAAAAAGAGGCATGGACTCACTTGTCCCCTTTGGGTCCTCGGCCCCGACGCTTGCCCTTGACCGGGGCCCCCAGGACTTCGGCATCAGTTGCTATGACACAGTCGTAAAAACCTTGGTTGAACTGTGAGATGATGTGGCACCTGCAGCCAAGAGTGGACAGAGAATCAGCTCGGCAGAGCAAGCTTGAGGCCCCTCTGCCATCCCTACTATCATAGTAACCATCACCCTTTCCTACTTTTTCCTCTTCTTAATCTCTTTCCCTACTTAATCATTGTGCCTCAGTTTCCTCAGCTGGAAATAAAATAATGACAGGGTTTTGTTTTTTTTTGAGACAGAGTTTCACTCTTGTTCCCCAGGCTGGAGTGCAATGGCACGATCTCAGCTCACTGCAACCTCCACCTCCCGGGTTTAAGCAATTCTCCTGTCTCAGCTTCCCGAGTAGCTGGGATTACAGGCGCCTGCCACCACGCCTGGCTAATTTTTGTATTTTTAGTAGAGACGGGGTTTCACCATGCTGGCCAGGCCGGTCTTGAACTCCTGACCTCAGGCGATCCGCCCACCTTGGCCTCCCAAAGTGCTGGGATTACAGGCATGAGCCACGGCGCCCCGCCATGATAGGGATTTTGGAGTTGGGAGAAGTCAGTCAGTATCAGTTACATCTAGAACCTGGCCCCTATTAAGTGCTTAAGAAACAGAACATTATCTGGGTCCCCTTTTCATCTCTATCTTCAACTTATCTCAACCAAGATATTGGCTGTAGCAAACCTGGAGCGCAGTGGAAGTTCTCCATTGAGCACACAGGTGGGAATGCTGAACTGCTCCAGGAACAGGCGTAGCCGGTAACTCCGCTCTAGAGTGTTGACAAAGAGCAGAGACTTGCCCCGAATCAATGACAGCTTGAGCAGGGCATACAGCAGCAGGAATTTGTCTTCCTCAGTCTCACAGACCACCTGAAACTGCTGTAACTGGTCTGGCCCAGGCAGCTGGGACTCCTGTAACTTAAGGGTAACCTGGGGAGAAAACAGGCCTGTGGTCAGAAAGCAAAAGAACACAGAGATGGTATGGCCACTTACTCACCAATCAAAGCATCAACATTTTAGTGCAGGGCAGAGATGCATTTAAGGATTCCTGGCACCCTAAGTCTCCTCCAGTTTTGTAACCTAAAACCCCAAAATGCCCTAATTGTTGTGGTATATAGAGTATACCACCAAAACCGTATATAAAATACTTCCAAGCACAGAACAAAGAGAAACACATCAATAAAGGACTGCATCGAGGAGGGAAGGACTACAGCAACACGCTTTCTGAAAGGTAAAGTTTACTTAAGATGAGAACCTTGGCCTTAGAATTTTCGCTCTGCTGCTCAAAGCTGCCCCTGAGGGGAAGTCCTTGCTCAGGATTTTAGGCAAAGTATGGCCTGAAATGGGAGACATCCCCTGTGGACACTTGGAAATATATAGTGATTTTAGACCACTGACTTTTAGTGCCTCAGGACCAAGGACGAGACACTAAGTGACAACTGTCCCACCAAAGGCTCCCCCAAGGAGGAGCATCAAGATCTTTGAGTGCCCCCATGCCTGCAGCTCCAGACCCTTCCATGGTGCCTCTTACCGGGTTATGTAATACTAGCTCCTTGAGTGCCTGTACGTCCTCATTAAAAGTTGCCGACATGAGAAACGCCTGGTAAATCCGGGGCAAATGACTGAAATGAAAGAGTCCAATGAGATTCCAGCTCCAAGGGCCACTAATTGTAGTAGCTGGCTTCCAGCCACCCCACTCTCGTCCCAATTCCTACTCACAGATGTTTCCACTAGGAATCACACCCACTTCTGCCTTACCAGAGGAGACTCTTGAGCTCTTCTTCAAAGCCAAAGGAAAAAAGAAGATCAGCTTCGTCCACCACCAAAAGCTCCAGGGAGTCACGAAGTTTCAGGCTGTCTTGCTGCAAGTGGCTTAATATGCGAGATGGGGTCCCCACTACCACATCTGGCTTCTCCATCAGCACAGCTCTGCAGGTGGGCAAGACATCAATATCAGGGACAATGTAGCAGCTGGGATCTCACCCTGGACATGCTCTTTTTTGCCACACACAAACCCAACCCCACAACTCTGTGTGGCTTCATTCAGGTACCGCTTTGCTGCTTTTACCCACCTCTGAGAGGCTGAGTCTTCGGCAGCTGAGACATTGGCCACTCGGGCATCCCGAGCACAGTAGGTAGCCAGCTGCTGAATCATGGACTGTGCCTGCCGTGCCAGTTCCTTGGTAGGAACAAGAACAAGGCCTCTCACTGCCTGTTCTACCACCGGACCTGTCTGTAAGAACATGAATTAAAGACTTTAGCCAGCAGTGCACATCACTGTGTCCACCTGATGCTTTTCTCTACCCCTTCCAGCCTAACTGACCCATCGCTGCAACCCTACTCAGCAGTATTTTGATTATCTATCACTCTGCCAGCCTCAGAATGCAGAGTGGAGTTGTTTCCTTAGGCACTGACCCTCAAAAAGAATAACGTACTCTATGTTTATGAAGCTACTTTAAACGTACTAGTTATGAAACTAAATTCTCACAATAATTCTGTAAGTAGAAAAAAGAGATGTGCTCCCTTTTTATGTAAGAAAGAAAGTAAAGTGCTTTGTTGAAGATTACGCAAAAGTTGGTGGTAGCAGGGCCTGGACAAGGATCCAGGTAACCTGAACTACTACAGCCCAGAGTGTTTGCCACAACAGCACCAGGTTCTCAGGCCGGCGTGCACGGGTACAGGACCAAGAGAAAATCTCCGACAAACGGGACAGCCCTTCCCAGGCTTTTGGAGCTCGCCTCCTTCCTCCCCTCAGCTTTCTCGTTACCCACCGCCTTCCTGTGGAGCAACAGCTGCAGCATCGGAATAGCATAAGCTGCCGTCTTGCCGGAGCCCGTGCGGGCCCGAGCCAGGAGGTCCTTCCCTTCCAGGGCCAGTGGGATGGCCTTTTCCTGGATCAGCGTAGGTCGCGACCAGCCCATATCGGTGACAGCCTAGAAGAGACCAGGAGTGCGGCTCAAGCGGCGCGAAGAGTGATAGCGCGCCCCGCGGAGCCCATAAGCCGGCCCCCTAGCCCTCGCGTGTACCTGCAGGAGCCGGGGATCGAGGCCCATGTGTTCAAAGCCCAGTACTTCTGAGTCCTCCATGGCGCTGCTCAGTAGCGACAGCACGCACGCACTGCAGGAAAAAACCCACGGACGCGGGGGGCAAAGCAACAACCAATCAGCTTCGGAGACGCCGTCACTTCCCGGAAGTGCTGGCGCCTAGGCTTCCGGTGTTCGGGCGGAGCTCTGCGACTGCGCAGCGCCAGCGACTGGGTCTAGGAGGCGGCGGTGGAGCGGCCGTGCTGGGGTCGAAGGGGTCCTTTGGACTGCACAGCCGCCCCACAGACTCCTCCGGCGTACCTGGACGCCGCTGACGCACCTGATTCTCGCGACCTGCAGGAGAAACCTCGGCCGGGGCCGAGGGCCGAGGTCGTGACGGGCACGACCGTCTCCCTGCTTGGTTAGGGTTAGGGTCCCGCCAGGCACACCACCCTATGATGGAGCCACTGAGATCGACTGGGCTGAAGGGAACCGGTTGGAATAATGAGCCATGGCAGCAACTTTGCCTGAGAGAGAGGAAGGGCGGGTTGCTGTAGGGCTCCCTAACCGGGCTGCCTGTCAGACACCTACACAGCTTGGTTTCTGTTGTGTCCCAAGTCTGACTCGGGTCACCAGTTAAGACCCGTGTCAGACTTCTGACCTACAGACTTGCGTCGTTTTAAGCCACTAAATTTGTGATAATTTGTTACAGTAGCAATAGGAAACTAATACAGGTGAGGACCAAGAATCCTAATCACAAATCTTTTTTTTTTTGAGACATGGTCTCACTGTCATCCAGGCTGGCGCGATCCTCCCACCTCAGCCTCCTGGAAAGCTAAGACTACAGGCACGCACCACCACGTCCAGTTAGTATGTATGTATGTACGTACATATATGTGTGTGTGTATATATGTATGTCTCCCTCCCCCCTCCCTTCTCTTTTCTTTCTAGATGGGGTTTCGCCATGTTGCCCAGGACGGTTTTGAACTCCTGGGGCCAAGTGATCTGCATTCCTCGGCCTACCAAAGTGCTGGGATTACAGGTGCGAGCCACCCCTCCTGGCCCACAAGTCTTTCAGTGTAGAAGAGGGAAGCAGAAGAGGTCAAAGTGGTGCCATGTGAAGGCTCAACCCACCCTTGCTGGAGGAAGGGAGCCAGAGCCAAGCTGGAAGAGGCAAGGAAACAGACCTTTGTGATTACATTAGGCCCATCCAGATGATCCAGGATAATCTATTTTACAGTCATCTGATTAGCAATTTAATTCTCTTTTGTCATGTTAGGTAACATATTCACGTGTTTCAGAGTGGTAGGCCATTATTCTGCCTACCATACCACCCAACACAAATCTACATTAAGACTGTATCTGAGTGTTGCACAGGAATCTATGTCAACAAGCTTCCAGGGTGATCCTGTGTATCCTATATGATGCACCCCAGCATCTGAGTACCAGAGACTAGCATCTGGCTGTTAGATTAACAGATCAGCTCATGCACCAACGGGTAGCCTCATGCTGGGACCAAATGATGAAGATAGGTACAACTAGTCCCAGCGAGAGCTGGGGAACTGGGCTGGGATATAGAGGATGTTAAGAATGGAGTGTCCTCCCAACCCCAGAACTTTTTTTTCTCTTTTTGTGGTAAGGAGGGAGAAGGCTGTTTGGCAAGGATGTTGTAAACTCTGAGAAAGCAGGAATTTCGAAATAGAGTCAAGGGTGGTATTCAGGGGAAAATCACCAAAATTTTTGTGTACCCTAACTGCTGTTTTTTTGTTTGTTTGTTTTTTAGACAGAGTCTCACTCTGTCGCCCAAGCTGGAGTGCAGTGGCACGATCTCAGCTCACTGCAAGCTCCGTCTCCCGGGTTCACGCCATTCTCCTGCCTCAGCCTCCTGAGTAGCTGGGACTACAGGCTCCCGCCACCACACCTGGCTGATTTTTTGTATTTTTAGTAGAGACAGGGTTTCACCATGTTAGCCAGGATGGTCTCAATCTCCTGACCTTGTGATCCGCCTGCCTCAGCCTCCCAAAGTGCTGGGATTACAGGCATGAGCCACCGCGCCCGGCCCCTAACTGCTGTTTTTTAAAAAACTTTTTAGGTCACAACCTATCTGCAAATATGACACACCAGTATGGAAATCCTCATTCTCCTCACAGCCACCAGCTATTGGCCCATCCACTGACTATCCCAATTCCACCTGTCTCATCAGTGGAAAGGTGAAATGTGTGCCCACTTTTTCCTCACACCATTCCCCTTTCTATCAAAAACTACCAAGAGAAACCCAGGACCTACCAGAATAGTTAAGATGTGCTCCATTGCGTCTACTGCCAGCCAAACCTGTTGAAGGCCGGCTCAACCTTAATCTGTGCCTTCCTGTCTTCCCACAAGCTTAGTCTGATTTGCCGACTAGATTTCTAATAACAGCCACAGAGCAGAAATGTGTCCCTCCCAGTATGTCACATAATCCCCAAAAGCTGCAGGCCAGAAGTCCACAACATGTAACTAGTTCAAAGGACATGATTTTTCTCTGGATTAATTCCAACATGAGGAATACTGAAAACTCTTTAAAACATCTGAAGAATTTCAGCAATTCACAATTCACCTTACTGGACTGTAACACTGTTATCCAGATTTAGAAATATGAGGATATAAAAATATTAAATGGAAAAGCCTAGAGAACTAAATTTTTTTTTTTTTTTTTTTTTTTTTGAGACAGAGTCTCACTCTGCCCGCCAGGCTGCAGTGCAGTAGCTCGATTTCTGCTCACTGCAACCTCCTCCTGGGTTCAAGCGATTCTCCTGCCTCAGCCTCCTGAATAGCTGGGATTACAGGCACACACTACCAAGCCTGGCTAATTTTTTTTTTTTTTTTTTTTGAGACAGTGTCTTGCTCTGTAGCCCTGGCTGGAGTGCAGTGGCCAGATCTCAGCTCACTGCAAGCTCCGCCTCCCGGGTTCACGCCATTCTCCTGCCTCAGCCTCCAGAGTAGCTGGGACTACAGGCGCCCGCCACCTCGCCCGGCTAGTTTTTTTTTTTTTTGTATTTTTAGTAGAGACGGGGTTTCACCGTCTTAGCCAGGATGGTCTCGATCTCCTGACCTCGTGATCCGCCCGTCTCGGCCTCCCTAAGTGCTGGGATTACAGGCTTGAGCCACCGCGCCCGGCCAGCCTGGCTAATTTTTATACTTTTAGTAGAGACAGGGTTTCACCATGTTGGCCAGCCTGGTCTCAAACTCCTGACCTCAGGTGATCCACCTGCCTTGGCCTCCCAAAGTGCTGGGATTATAGGTGTGAGCCACCCTACCTGGTCCTAAATTGCGTTTTTTTTTTTTTTTTCCAGATGGGATCACTCTGTTGCCCAGCCTGGAGTGCAGTGGCACGATCATGGCTCACTGCAGCCTTGACCTCCCGGGCTCAAGTGATCTTTCCATCCCAGCCTCTCAAGTAGCTGGGACTATAGGCGTGTTCCGCCAGCTAAATTTTTTGTATTTTTTGCAGAGACAAGATTTCGCCATGTTGCCCAGGCTGGTCTCGAACTCCTGGGCTATAGGATCCACCCACCTTGGATTCCCAAAGTGCTAGGATTACAGGCGTGAGCCACCGTGTCCAGGCCACATGTATTTTTAAAAGTAAAAATAGCCAGGCACAGTGGGGTATACCTGTAGTACCAGCTACTTTGGAGGGTAAGGTAGGAGGATCACTTGAACCTGGGAGCTCAAGGTTGCTTTGAGCTATGATGGCACCACTACACTCTAGCCTTGGGGACAGAGCAAGACCCCATCACCCGTGCCCAGCCAGTTCACACCTGTAATCCCAGCACTTTGGGAGGCGAGGCGGGCAGATCACCTGAGGTCAGGAGTTCAAGACCAGCCTGGTCAACATGGCAAAACCCCGTCTCTACTAAAAATACAAAAATTAGCTGGGCATGGTGGCGGGCACCTGTAATCCCAGCTACTCAGCAGTCTGAGGCAGGAGAATCTCTTAAATTCAGGAGGTGGAGGTTGCAGCAAGCCAAGATTACACCGCTGCACTCCAGCCTGGGCGACAGAGTGAGACTCCATCTCACATAAATAAAATAAAAATAAAAATAAAAATAAAAATAAAATAAAATAAAATAAAATATATAAAATATAAAATAAAATAAAAAATAAAAAATAAAATAAAATAAAATAAATAAAAATAAAAAATAAAATAAATAAAATAAAATAAATAAAATAAAATAAAATAAAATAAAATAAAATAAAATATAAAAATACAAAAGTAGCCGGGTGTGGTGGTAGGTGCCTGTAATCCCAGCTACTCAGGAGGCTGAGGCAGAATTGCTTGAACCCGGGAGGCAGAGGTTGCAGTGAGCCAAGATCATGCCACTGTACTCCAGTCTGGGTGACAGAGCAAGACTGTCTCAAATAAATGAACATAAAAATTATATATATATATATATAGGTATATATATGGTACAGGACATAAATAACAAAAGAATTTAGTTCTGTGGGTCAGATAATTTAATAAATATTTCAAATAAATATATAATAACTGAAATAAAATGTCAAGATTGGGGAACTAATGGTATTAAGTTTAATACAGAAGGGCATGAGGGAAGTATATTTGTTCAAATTTATGATTCAGATGGCTAAGAAGGTACTTAATTTCCTCAGATGATATCTTGCAAATGTGTGTTCTATTTGGTTGACCTTTGCAAATGACTGAGCAACCACCCTGTGTATTCCCATGCCCCCTAGACTGCCTGTTCAAGCCAAGCCTTAGCACCACGAGTCCATAGTGAAGTCCACTCCAGGTCATCTGCATAGGCAGTCCAGGCACCTTTCCTCTTTTCCTTTAGGTGCCTCCCGTCTGCCCACAACCTCTTATTTCATCTCAAACGCAGCTATTACAACATGTTTTATTTCACTGGAAAATTCTGCAAAGAACCAAATCTGGTTCCCTCGCAGAAAACATTTAGCACAGCTTAAAAGTTGAGAAGGAGGGTAAGAGTGCATTAACCCATGCTAGCTCTGTTGCTACCTTACCTCTGACTCTGAGGCCCTGTGGGATGAAAAGCAGGTATCCAAAAGAACTCTGCTTGGCCCTCTTGATACAGCCTT